GTGTTGGTGACTTAGGAAGTCATTTTAACTCAAAGAATAAAAAGTGTGTATTATTATTGATAACATTTCTTTTAGAACCATTAACATCAAAAGTTAGTAAAGGAAGAACAATTTTTATTGGCTAATTGGGTTTAATCAGTTAATTCCAATTTCTGTGTAACAAGTGGGCTCATTATAACAATCATTTATTTGTTTATGATTTTGTGGCTTGGAGCTTGGGCTGGAATTGATTAGTAGGTTGTCTCTACTCCACATGGTGACAGGTGCTCTGGCTCTCATATTTGGGCTTCATTTGTGTAGGCTGGGGTGTCAGGGAACACTGGGGTCCCTCTTCACCAGTGGTCTCATCCACCAGGAGCCTAACTTGGACTTGCACGCAAGGCAGTAGCATTCTAGTGGGCCTACTCTTGGAATGTATGCAATGTTACTTCCCCCACATTCTGTTGTTAAGCAGCTCACAAGATCAGTACGAAATAGATTCTATCTCCTGATGACTGTTATTGCAAAGAATCTGTGGCCCCTTTTAATTAACCCCAGAAATTTTGATAAGAACTTTAATTAGATTCTTTCTAACTTAATGAATTTGCCAAATTATTCTTGGCTTGTACTCTCAAGAAAGTTTCTGTAAGGCTGGCAAATATGTATGCATAATGGCTTTTATTTTGCTAAAACAAAAAAAAGAAAGCAAAATTGAGAGAAAATTGTTGTGCAAAAGATGGATAAGCCAGGGATAGTGACCAATATTTATCGTTTCTAACATTTCTATTTCATCTTATCCAAGGGGAACAAGGAGCACATAATAAGAAAAGGAGAAGAAAAGAATCTCATTCTTGGATCATATATTTTCTCCTCTAACTTATGAATAGTCTTTCAACTTTGTTAATAATGCTACTAGAAATCCTAATATCAAAGCCCTCTTTTATTGCTCCTGATTGGAATTGGAGGGGCTGAGGGGAATGATAGGGCCCCAGGACAAGACCCCCAAACCCTCAAGAGGATACAGCAGCATTAAGCAGATGAGAGCGGTATCCCTTTCTCAAGTTGCAGCAGAATCAGAGAACTGCAGCCTGGGAGAATTAAAGAAACAGGATGCCATGTCTAGATACTGGTGGCCTGGGCTGTTGACATATCCATAAATCCTCCCCTTCTAAACTGCATTAACACAGGAACTGAGCAGGATCAAAGAACTTGTCAGAAAGAATCTCAACAAGTATAGCATGAGTGACCACAAAAGACGAAGAGGGAGAAACAGAAGGCAAGACAAACAGGACAGTCATCAGACTTTATTCAGTTCCCTCACTGACAAGGAACATTGAAAAATCAATTCTGCACTAGCTGAATCTGTTAGAGAGGTGCCATGAAAGACAGTATTCCTTACCTCTGACACCTTTGGTAAGGGTCAAGCAATTGTTTTGTTATATATCCGAATTAAATTAAGGAAAGTCTCATCTCAAATAAAGTAAGTTAAATACAGCACTTAGCACCGATACTGACCTTTGCAAGATGTTAGTCCCCTTCCCTGTTACAAGTAGTTCCTGTCTTGTGATAATGCAGAACTAAAGAGGTCTGGTTGCCAGTGCTATCTAGAACAATCTTTGGTCTTGTGGTCTAAGCACATGTCCTGTTCCCTCTCTTACTCTTCTCCTTCAGAGGATCCTATTTCACTACTCACCCTCATTGGTGCTGCTGTTTTGACTTTAGAAGATAAGTTGCTTAATCACAACTCTAGACAATTTGTAGTTTGTAAAGTCACAGATTAGAAAAAATGTGTGTGGAATCCCCTTTGACACCTGCCCCTTCTCCCTCCCATTGCTAGCCTCCTGGCTTCCCTGTCACCAACTAGTGACAAATGGTCCAGGTGATAATCACAGCCATATCACCCACTGCCATCAATTTGGTTTCGTGAGATACACATTTAGTAAGCTATTTGGCATCTTTCATGCACCAGCTAGTGCACGCCATGCTGTGATGATGTCCTGTCTTCTAGAAGATCATGGCGGGCCAGACTTGAGGGCAATAGTGCAGTTCCAGATACATGGGATGGAGAGGTTATTAGAGAGTGCCTGACCCATCCCCACCATAGTCCACAGTGAGGGTGAGGAGAGGAACAGTGTGTCTCAGGTCAGCTCATGCACACAGTACCCCAGCCTGGACAGGGTAGATTGGCCAGACATGGAGACCCATGGGGAACACTTGACCACTATTTGAACTGGCCATGGAAACTCAGGAATGGATTCCCTGGATATCAAATGTGGTGTGACATCTCCTGCACCTGTGCCTTGTGAAATACTGGAATATTAGTCACAGGATTTAAATTGTAGGCTATAGATACACTTATGCAGTGAAAGCAGCAGTTCAACTAACTTCTATTTGTTAAGAATCTCAAAAGCAGATATTCTTTACCAAATACTTTAGGACTGGAATTTCGGCCCAAATCCATAACTACCACTCTCTAGCTCTGGTATTTGGAACTAGAGCATTCCCAATGCTGCCCTCTTCTAAGAGCCTTTTGGAACACAGATACTGGTTTTTATTGAGCACTGAGATAGCCCAAATAATTGAAGAATGTAAACACAGGGTGATGTCAGAGAAGAACTCCATTAAGAGGGTCAGGCCTTAAGAAATCCCATCATAAAAATGGAAATGGTACATAGAGCTACACTCTATCAGGGAAATCACAGGAGAGATTCATTTCACTCACAAAGTAGCCTCTTTTCCTATAGGATCTATAATAGAGAAAGAACTAGAACAAAAAAAAAAATCCAATCAGTTCAGCCCTAGTTATATTTCATTGAACCTATATGCTATGGTTTAGATCTAGAATGTGACCCCAAACCCTCATGTGTTCAGAAGTGGGACTTATGGAATATGATTGTATAATGGAGCTGCTGAACTCATCAGTGGATTGGTTCACTGAAGAATTCAGATCTAAATGTGCTATTAGGAAGTGGCAGATCACTGGGAGCATGACCTGAAAGGCTATATATCTCTCCCTTGCTCCTCCCTTTTATCTCTGCTCCCGTTCTACTATGATCTGAGCAACTTTCTTCCTCTAGGGTCTTCCACCATGCTGTTTCTCCCTTAGAACTGGCCAACCATGCATAGACTGAGACCCCTGAAGCCATGAGCCAAAATAAGTCTCTTATCCTTTAAGTTGAAAGTGTCAGGAGCTATGTTCCAGTGATGAAAAAGTGACTGAGGCAGATTTTGGTATCAAGAGTGGGGTTGTTACTAAGTGTGGTTTAGACACCTTTAGAACTAGTCCATAGGAGGAGTTTGGAAAAATTTGGAGATGCTTGCTAGCAAAGCTCTAGAATGCTATAAGCCAGATTTGACAGGAAATTCTTGGTGTAGTTTAGGAGATCAGAATGCTGATAAAGTGCAGATAGAAAGAAACATCAGGCTCAAGAGATATCAGTTGAGAACAAGGACTGCATTAGCAGTTAGACACCTGGTGCAAGGCAATGTATGTTATGCTCTGCTTGAAAATTTTCTACATTTTGCCTATGTCCTGGGGATTTGTAGGAGACTGAGATTAAGGGTAGCTAATGAATTAATCAGGTTGAAGAAATTTCAGGGTATCCCAGTGTTCAGATTTGGGCATGAATAATGCTGGCACTTTTTAGTCAGATCTACAGGAAGAATCAGAAGCAAATGACTGAAAAGTTTTGAGTTTCACCAGAAAGGAAGCACCTCCATAGTTAGGGCAAGGGAAAGCATGGTTGCCAAGAAGATTCTTTTTTTAAAATTTATTTTAAGAATAAAAGAAGGAAAACATATTAACAAACAGACATCCATTTGCAAAACAGCATACGAACAATACACCCAATACAGAGTTACAGACAAAGTGGTAGGAAATTAACAATGGCTGTTGTACTACATATTGATATCTTCAAAGTGGTTTCTCAGGAGAACAAATAGACATGCAAGAGTGATCAAATAATTAATCATTAACTGTTTCTTTCAGTAAAGCAATAGAAATCAGTAGTACAACTATGTTAGTTATCCTGTATGTACATACATACATAATTTTCCCTTCTTTCTTTTCTCTGTTCCCTCACCCCAGTTACTCTTTACTTTTAGCATTTTCCTTTCGTTTCACAATGTCTGTCATACCTCCTAATTTTTATTCACTCTTTCAGGTTCTTACACTAGTGAGACAATAGGTTGCTTACACATAGAGGTCTGGTTTATTTCATTTATGAGTGTAGTCTCTAGTTGTGGGTAGGAAATGCCAGAAGAAGGAAAAGAACAGTTAGGACACTTGTATCACTGAGAAACACTACTCATTGGTGAGCTTCCATTTGTGAGTGAAGGCTAGCAATTTACTATGGATGGCTATGAGAAGCACAAACATGTATGAAGCAAAATTCACTTAAGAGTGATGCCTAAGTGATTCCCAGAAAAGTTTGGATTTTTTTTCAGCAAATATGTTCTATCTTACCTCCTTTGAGAAGAAAACCTCCAAAGTAATCATGAAACACTCAAAAGTCAATAGTACATACTCAGGAATGCCCTAATAGTTTCAACACAGCCTGAGAAATTCACTCTGCTATAGGAATCTATGGCCAAGCTAAAAAACATCTGTTGCAGAATGAACCTGCCTAGTTGGAAGTGGAGAATACCATCCCTTTCCTCGTTGAGACTTGCCCAGACAGTTTGAGATGTGATCTGAAAACCTCATCCAGCACCTTATCCAGGAAGGCTGGTTTTGTACATGTCATACTGTGACTTGCAGAGGGGAGCACAAACCTGGCTTTCCAGAGCAGTACTACAGCCCTACGCTTGTCCTGAGGTCTTGTTTCCAGGGGACATGGGATTAATTTTAGCAAAGTATACCTGGACATATAAAAGTTAAAGTCATTTAGAACAAATGTAGTACTCAGGTGCAGGTCCAGGCGCAGACCAAGGCAATTTTCAGATGCTGGAAAATTTTGTCTTTGAATCCTCACCAACTCCTATATCCTTCTGTTTCTCAGAGGCAAGTGAGGGGACCTTACCTTGCCAGTGGCATCATCTAGTACTGTGTCAGAAAAGCAGGATTTCAGCTCCACCCCAGGCCCTTAGTCAGAACCTGTACTTTCATGAGTTAGTTCCCAGGTGATCTCTGTTCACTGGTAAGTTTAAGGAGCAGTGTGTGGCTACCACCCCATTGCCCATGTCCTACTCAAAACATACTCCACTCCCTGTCCTCAGCCTCACCCCGCCCACATACCTTCCAACAGCACAGGAAAAGATACCTGCTGGTTTTGTGTTCCAGAGAGGAAGTGGTCAGCATAGGCTGATTTGAGATATGCTCCACAGGTGACTCATGGACCTCACTGTGCTTCCAACCAGTCACCTATATTTGTCTTGGAGTGACAGCTGACCAGAGGAACACTGGGACAAGATGACCCAAAGAAATTCAAAATCTATTCATTCCCACAGCTCGCAATCTAGAGCTGGTTTGACTACATAGAGAAATATGAGACTTTTGAATATAAAAGAATCACTCTTCCTGCTGAGTAAAAAGAAAAGTTCTTTCTTTTTTCTTCCTTCCTTCCTTCCTTCCTTCCTTCCTTCCTTCCTTCCTTCCTTCCTTCCTTCCTTCCTCTCTCTCTCTCTCTCTCTCTCTCTCTCTCTTTGTGATTATTATGACAGAAGACCTGTTCCAGGTTTCTCCCTCAATGCTCAGGGATTCTTCAAGGACTTTTGTCAAGAATGATTTCTTCCCCTGTTGTAAACTTTATATTCTGGCAGGGAGGGTGCAATTAGTTTCCTGTTGCGAAAGCAAAAAGTTAAGCAAATATATCTTGAAGAGTAAGAGAGTACTGTGAGTTCTTTCAAGGAATGTGTGTCTTTTGTGCTACTCTCCCTTGGAGTACAGGCTTAGAGTTGTTTTGGTGACAGATGATTTCTCAGAATTCACAAACAGGTCCTTGCAGATGGCCCCTGAGCAAGGTCTATGTGGCAGAAGGACTATCCCTGATTGCATTTACAGTTCAGAGCTAGAAAACCATGAGGCCATCTTGAAGACGTTTTGGGATGGGACAAGTGCACAGGGGAAAGGGGCACCGTACTCTCAAAACAGACCACAGAGGCCAGGGCCTGCGGAAGCCCCTGCCCCTCATTCCTCCCAACCCTGCCTTTATGCTTTCTTCTCCTTTATAGATAAAAGGAAACAGAAAATAAAACAGAAATCCCTATGGAAATTGGAGGTACCTGTAGCCGGGACCTCTCCTGATGCCTGCGATGTGCATTTTGTAGGTTTCTGTCTCTTTTCTCTTGCCTGTTCCATGATCTCTGTCTCTCCCTGTCTGTCTGTCTGTCTGTCTGTGTTTCTCCTTTCCTCTCTGTTTCTGTAGGTCACCCACCCCATCACCCTCTGTGTTCCTCTTCAGTCCCATGAGGCCCTTTCTTACTTCCTTCAGGCTAACGAGTGCTCTGGTCTACAGCTTCCACGATCCCTGCTCTTCACTGCTCACCTTTCCAGTGCTCCCAAGCCCAGCCCCAGTCCCCATGGGTTCTCCGCCTCCTTCTTCATAATGAAACCCATTAAAAACTTATTGACAAAGATTCTTTTCTTGGCCAAATTTGGTCATTATTGGTCTTTGCTTGATTTCTGATTCTTCTCCTAGGTCCATCTGTGTACTTCCTTGTAAAATACAGTTTTAGCAAAGAACCTTCCAAGTTAGATAAGCGAGAACACTCTATGCTCATTATCTGATCACTCTCAATACCAAGCAATGTTCCCCATCCTCCCCCATCCTCTATGTCCGCTCTCCCTTGCCTATCTTCAGCAAGAATCCTGTTCAGCCTGTTTAGACAGAATGCTTTCTGCCCCCAATGTCTCCTCTTAGTAATTTTCCATCCACTGACCCTGACATTGCTATCAGTTCTCATTTGCCCATGCTGTGTGCAGAGCTGAGCCCAATATCCCTCTTCCATTGCAGGACCTTGTTGCAATGTCCCCTGCATCTATGTTGATAGTCTTATTTTTTTATGTTTATTTTTTGTCTTTTTGAGATATAATCTCACTGTGAAGTTCAGGCTGGCCTTGAGCTTACTTTGTAGCCCAGGATGGTCTCAAACTTGCAACAATCCTCCTGCCTCAGCCTCCCAAGTGCTGAGATTATTGGTGTGTGCCACCACACCCAGCTATTTTGATAGTTTTAAATAAAGTCTTCCTTACTATGCTTTTTTGGGGGCGCGGTGGCAGGGGGAGTTTGCAGTACCAGGAACCGAGCTCACAACCTCGCTTGCCAGGCAGGCACTGTGCCACTGAGCTAAATCCCCAGCCCCCTTCCTTACTATGCTTTAATAGATGTCTCTTAATAATTTTTAACATTATTCACATTGAACCTAATGGTCCGTGGATCCAGGATGGTCTGTGGATTTATCAGCTACATTTTTCAAGACATTTCCAATTGCCAGGGCCATGGTGGTACAAGCCTATAATCCCAGCCCTTGGGAGTCTGAGGCAGGAGGATCACTCTGTGTTCAAGACCAGCCTGGGCTACAAAGTGAGCTCAAGGCCAGTCTGAACTGCATAGTGAGACCCTGTCTCAAAGAGACAAAAAAAAGAAGACGTTTCCATATAAAAACCTAGAGTTGAATTGAAATCTTGAGAGTGAATTGATGGAGAAGGTTTGAGAGCAGAAGAGAGTCTGTAATTCCAGCTATAAAGAAGTCTAGATTCCAAGGAAATGTATAATGGGAAGAGGGTACTTAGTATGTCATTCATCTCAAGGATATTTGGCTCCTCCTATATTTTCTTCCTTTGAGTTTTCCTACCTGGAATACGTCGGGTGGGCCTAAACTGTAAAGCAAAGGATATTATACTTTAAAGTTAGAATGCTGAGTGCCATCAAAACTATGACCTGTTGTTGGGAGCATATAGACACAGAAAAGGACTTCAACTATAAATATTAAGTTATTAATATGATGTTAGGGATGACTGGTTACTTGACCTTGTTCTAGATTGCCATCAGCATTCCAAATGGGTCACTGAGTTTCAAACTCTAACAAGACTTTGTTGGTGTCAGCACATTCCTCATAAACAAGGTAAGCTTAATTTCCTAATGAACATTAAAATTCAGAGAGCTATACTTAGTTATAACATTCAGTGCTGTATCACACAAAATGTCCTAAAATGTGGAAGGTCATAGTGAACCTGAGCTAAGGTCTTTGTTTCTGTGATTCACACTGACAACCTTGATCTGGTACTGAGACTACCAGTCCTTCTTCTTGCATAAGGACAGGGCTTTATGCTTCTTTGATTTGTCCAAGGGTTTGGAACAGTGTATTGTGTATGATAATTGCAGATCTTTGTGGAAAACATAAACCCAAAGCCTCATGCTTTGTATATTCTCCAGAAAGCATCACTTTGACAAGCTAAGGATGGAAAATGCCCACAAGCAAATGGAGTGAAGACAAGGAGGCAGCCATTGTTATGGGCTCCGGAAGGATATTCACACTATTGCTGCTTGTTTGGGGGCTTGAGCCATGCATAATGACTGTTGTGCTATGGGTAAGGTCACTGAATAGTATTTGTACTCGCCTTTCCATCTGGGCAAGCCCCTCCCACCAATTTGGTGTAGCTCTCATGTCCCTTCCCCCAAGAAGCCCTTCTCAGACCCCCTAATTATTTGTACCTTTGTGCTCTCTTAGTACTATAATCAGACCACCTGTACTATATCTTCTTTCACTAGTTTAGAAGCTTCTTGAGAACAGAAACCAAGCACAGCTATATTTTCTTAGCACAGACCTTGCACAATCAGTATTATTAGGTTGTGTGATTTGGTAAGTAAATGAATTAATGAACATATGGCTATAATTCCTATGGGACCAGTGAGAATGAGATCACTGATCTGTTCATATCAGATGCACACAACTAGATTATGGCTTAGGGTCAAAATTGCTCTATCTTTATACTAACATCATGAAAATTGTGTTAGTGTAAACAAGCTAGGGTCCTGGACATTATTATAGATGTCTGTACATATTAGTACTGTAGATAATTATTTGAGGTGAGGATCCTGACACAGCATATTGTGCACTTCTGGGGACTCACTAAATACTAGTCTACCAATTACCCATCCCCTGAGCAAAATTGTGATGGAATATTTTGGGAACAGAGTTACCCCTACAACCTCGACTTTTGACCCACAAAAAAGAAAAGCCGCTCCTCATTTCTGTATTATATGTGCAGTGGTTAAGAAATTCCCTAATAGAAGGGAGGAATTTTGACTTGATTATGTATTTGAAGCATGATCCAGGGGGTGTGTTCTTGGGGTAAGGATCTCTCAGGTTACCTTCCACTCTAGACCAATGAAATAGTTCCAAGTTTTAGAAGAGAAGTACCTGTGTGTCATTGAAGGATGAGGTAAAGAAAAAGTTTTTGAAAACAAAGAAGGCAAATTCAAAGAGCTTATCTTCCAATAAAAAGCACTTTAACAGTGGTAGGAAGAGGATCTTTGTGAATACAGCCATCCAGTAACCTGGTTGATCATGGCGGTAGTAACTTTGGCAGGAGGGAAATTGGAAGGAAAAATAGGTCCCCAGCTGCTGAGGTATCCAGCAGCAGGATTCCAGCAACTTTGCATGAAAAGAACACATGCAGGAGGTTAGAGCAAGTTAGGCATCAGAAAGTCAGCAAAGGCTTGGACCTGGGACCTGGGGCCAGATATATCCAGCAAATCCATGAGATTACAAGGAGTCTTAAGGACATGAGAAAACACCAAGTTGCTTGTCATGTATGGGATCTAAGTTGGAGGAAATTTTTATTTGATCTTAAGGAACAAGCTGTGTCTAGCAAACACAAAGACTTGAGGACATATAAAAATTAGTCACTATAATCCTTATTGATATTTTTATTGGATGGTCTAACCTGTTCTGGATTTAAAATATATACATTTAGCTGGTTACTTCTTTCTGAAACTCTGTTTCATTAACTGTAAATGAAGGAGTCTGACCAGATATCATTTTAATGTGCTTCCAAAGATGATGGTTTATGATCCTTAAAATTCTGCCAGGAAGGGTGAAATGTGTTGAAAAACCAAGCTGGGCATAGCGGTGCATGCCAGTAATCCCAGCACTTGGGAGACTGAGGCAGAAGGATTGCTGAG